ACTGTCATTATTATCGTCAGTTCAATATCATCACTATTATCATTGTTATCAGTATGATTTATGATGATTATAATAATTGACATTAATATTATTATTTTATATTATTATTAATGCGATACATCCCTCCTTATATCAGCTTGTGGTAAGCTTAATTTCACTATTATCATCTTTCTTTTACCATCACTGCAGGATTCTTTGACGTTCCAGTTCAGTTTCTGGGTAGGTATTGAGAAAAATGGTGCATTTCAGTGCGTGTGCTGAAAGTCTCGGCTTCGACGGGCGTCTATGGTATATGAAACATGAGCAGGAACGAATGAAACGTCTTCAAATGAGAAATGTCGCAAGTCGTTTGAAAAAGTTCTTGAACGAAGAGGCCCACTCACCGCAAACGGCAGTGTCTTGGCTAAAAGCACCTAAAATATTGAATGGTGTTAAAACGCCGCCACTGTCATCCAGCATCTCGTCTGATCCAGCAATATTAACGCTAAGGAAAATAAATTCATAAAAAAATTAAGTTGTTTTTTGGAAAAAAAATTTTTTTGGACTCTCAGAATTTGTTTAATTTGTGAAAAAAACGTTCATGCACACATGTCTTTGCAATATAATTTTTGTTGCAAGTTTGTATCCGCACACAAGCTTGTGCTCTTTCCATTTTACAGTAGCGAGTTGATGTGGAAATAATGGGGAACGTACCAGTCTTCCTATTTTGCCCCTGACTGTATTGGCCGTTGTTTACAGTCCTCTCCGCGGGCTGTTTATAGCTTTTTCTTGGTAAGATGCTCATAGGGCCTTTACGGCCCGTACTGCCCTTCCTACTTCAGCATGTTATCTCTTCGTCTGCTTATATTTTGAGCCAGTCAGTTACGAGTGTTAAGGTAGTTATGCGCCAAATGAGTCAAAAACAGGTCAACTGTTAAAGAAAGAGGATTATACGTTTTAAGAAGATGAAAGAAAAGATCGAAAGTTATCCGATAAAAATTTTAAGCAAAGTAGAAAATTCACTGTGGCAAAACCGTATCATTTATTCAAAACAGTAGTGCTATTCCAGGGAGTTATGTGAAAATTGATTACATGGTGAAGCAAATTCATTTCGAGTACAATTTAAAAAAAAAAAGAATTAGGTTATAATTTTCCGAAAAGGAAAATTTGTAAAGCAAGCTCACGTTTCT